TTTTTACCTTAGTGTGATCAAGACTAATTACCTTCTAATGAGAAGACAAAACCCAGCTAGTGCAGAGCAAATGTATTCAAGATAGCTGTTGGTGGACATAATTTAAACTTGCTGTGAAGTAAATAGTTCAAACAATCCAGATTTTGGCAACATTTCAAAATAATGGGATCTATTTACAATTTCCTTATATAGCACTTGAAACAATTCCCTGGTGTCTTAATGTAAAACCTAGTAAATTGATAAAAGTTGGTGCATTTACTTAAGGTGAATTTGGATCAGACTCCACTAAAAACAAATTCTGTGTTTGGGAGGTTGTAAAGATAATAGGGAGTTATATTTGGGCTGTCAGTATAAATTTAATAGTGTAGGGCATTGTGATTTTAATGCATCTAATATTAACTATAGAGATTAAAATTTTTCTGGAAGTATAACCAGGTTGGTGTAGTGGTGAAGGCATGTTATGCTGTTCTGTGGAATCTTTGTAGCCAAAACATTTTACTGTTCACATCAGGCATCAGCCTACAATGTCCATTGTTAAATTACACTTAGTGGTGAGTAGTATGCACATCTTTGTTGTAAATCAGGCTTGGACTTTAATCTTAATATAAGCAGATGTTTATGCTGAGAATGGATAGGGGAGAATGAGCATTAGCAATGCTCTGGCTTAAAAATATTTCTGCAGAACTTTTACATACTCCTTTTGCTTTTTTTGATCAAGCTTTCTATTCTTTTGTCATAACCTTGATGGTTTGTTCTTTGCCCTTTCACCTCTTGGTAGTTTTGCTTTCTCTTTCTCTGATGCAGTTTTCATTCTCCACCTTCTTTGAATTGCAGTAAGCAGACTTCTGGCAAATAGGAAACTGCTGTTCTGGTCTCTGCACACAAGCTGCCTTTACTCTTTTCCTCCTGCAGTTGCTGTCCTGGAGAGGATCTTAACCTCACTTTTTTTGATGATATTTAATTTCATTTCTAGAAGGGATGTTGTCTCATTAGATACTAGGATAGATGGACTGTGCAATGGTCCCAGTCTGAAAAGATACAAGATTTATAGGAAATTTGATACATTTGGGGAGTTAAAAAAGAAATATCCAATTAAAACACATAGCTGTGGTAGTCACTGAAATCTAGTGGATAATTAAATGCAAGCTGCTGGCCTGTTCTCTGAGGTAGTTTTAGCCTGTTTTATCTGTTCTGTTTTGTGTAACATTAAGTAACAGAAATGAGGGATTGAGAGTATGCAGGCACAGTTAGTTTTAATGAGCATGAGTTTCTTCAGTGTAGCTGTCCTGAAAGAGAATGCTGGAAATACTAAGAAATTATTCAATCATTTGTGTGTTTCCACAATGTGTTTCAGAGAAGAAAAGATGGCAGATCAGTGTAAGAAAACTTTGCAGATGAAGCATGCTGAGCTCCATTTTACTTGATGTACAGTATGCCAAATTATCCATTATTGCTTTTTCTTTTTTTGTTAGAAAATGATGCTACATTGACCTTTTCCAAGTAAGGACCATTTTCTTTATTACATGCTCAGCAACTGATGCAGTTATCTCAGAATTGTGTATGGCATGGGCTTGTTCTGGTCTTGGTAAAGAGTGCAGCAATGCATCATTTAAAGTTGTTTTTCTAAAAATTCAGTTACATTTGAAAGGAGAAGTGAATTCTGGAGATCAGTGTCCAGAGGCTTCCTATTATGGAGGTAAAAGAAGTTGTTTTTCTTTCTGGTGTTAATACAATTAATGCAACTAACAGCTCTTATAATAGTGTCTATATATTGATACAATGAATACTGTATTTATGGAAAAATACATTGAAAGTTTGAGGTCTTGATTTAAATTTTTAGTTTGACCTTGAAAAATATTCCCAGATGGAGAGAGTTAAATGAGCCCAGCGTTGAAAGAGGAACATATGAATCACAATTGCCAGGCTCTTCCTTGAGAGGCACAGGCTTTACAAAGTGAAGTATTTCAAAAGTAATCTTCAAACCCAGAGTAACAGTGCATTGAGATGACACTGGTGAAATACCAGAAACTTCATTAGACTTCTGAACAGAGAATGTGCATGTCATGAAGTGGCTCAGGTGTAAAGTATTAGATGTTAGAATACCAACTGCACAATATATGTGAACTTTCATAAATGGCTCACAGGGGGGCAGAAAAATTGGCATCCATTGCCTACTCCTGGTACATACTTACTGTGTAAGTTTTGTTAAACTGTTCAGTACGTTGTTCTCTAAAATTTTCATGGTCTAATTTGTCACTCCCTAACAGTGCCACATAGGTGTTTGTCCTGTTGGAACACAGAAAGAGAAGTAAGATTTCCCTAAATCCTTCTCTTGCCCTGCTCAGCTAATGGCATGGGACACATTAAAGATGTGAGAGCTTACCTGCCTGAAAATGAGGCTCATGGATTGGGAAGTGTGGGCTCAGGTCTCTTCCAGTAGCCTTAAATAATCTTGGTTGGGTCAAACTCCTTACAGTTCCAAAGCCATTGTTAAATTGCATTTTGGCCTCTGATCTTTGCTACTCCCTCACTGGTTATAGATGTTGTTCTGGTATCAGTGCTGTAGGAGACCACTGTGGAGTACAAGATCTTTTGTATTGATTTGTGTGATGTGGCTGGAGTCTTGTGCATGACTTCCTTTGAAATCAGGTTGTGATTTGGTGTGTGCAGCAAATTCTTTTCTCTGTGTCAAGTGGTTTTACTCTTAGAATGGTGCTTTGTGAGTTTGTGTATTTCCTGGTATTCTGTCATTGCTTTCTGTCACCTGGAGCTAAGATTTTAAAACTGAAGGTGTTTCACAGTGTAAAGGATCTTTGTAAATTATTCAGATTTCTTGGGATCCTCAAACTGAACTAGGAAAACACTTTTTTTTTTTACGTCAATTTCTGTCAATTGTCTCAGTTACCATTTAAAATTGCAATTCTGTATTGCCAGCAAATATTCATGGAAGGTTTCTTAGAGTGATGGCACATGGATGTGGTGTCTCTGACTGGTCTGAAGGAGTGCTTTGTCTTGCACTGTTAACAATTCCCCCTGCATTCAGTAAAGCTGGTGTAAAGTCTGAGAATCCAGCACAGTGTGAAAGGCACAGCTATGGGAGCAGGTTCCAGGGTGTGGATTTACAGTTGTCAGGGCATCACCCAGGAGCAGCCTCTCTGTGGGCTGTTAACAGTGTAAATATCAGGCAGTGCATGCTGTCAGTGTCCCATTCATCTCAGCTCTTGGTGAAAGTGACCCTGGAGTATTTGCCTGTGTGTATAAACCTTGATACATGGGCATACCCAAAGGGGATGCTCCTTCCTGCATGAAATATTAGCAATGACATTTAAGCCTATACTTCTTTTCATACATAGCTTGATGCTACATCACAGAAAGTAGATATTGAAAAATAGAAGTTTATTATTCCTATCTGATTTCCACCCCTCCCCCCAGCATAATATTTACTAATTTTGCCTGGCTTGCAGTAGTTGGGTGTGACACAGGTTTTCATGCTTTTTTCAATAAATATCATATAAATAAACAAGCAAGAGTTGCTACTTAAAGTGCAAACAAGATGATTTGTTAATTTGATGTAACCTCAGTTGTGAAAAGGTGTCTATGATTCAGGTGAGGGTAACTGTGATCTCAGCCAAGTTAGATGTCTTTGGTCATTGCATTTGCATCCAACTGCAAAATCCAGTTGGGGCTGTTATTGCAGGTGTCATGATTAATTTTGTGTAGCACTAGGAAGATGTGTGGAAAATGTGGGATAAACCTTATGTCTTCTAAATAAAAGTATTGAATTTTTTTATGCTGAAGATAAATACTAATTCTGGAAGTAGTTTTGGTGTGGCTATATTCTCTGTCTGAGAAACAAAGTGGACAGGGCTGATGGTGTCTTTCTCTGAGCAGTTACCTTGAATCGTGGCACACTAAATGTGAAGCACACTCAATTTATTTCATAATTGCTGTTCTGTTAATGAACAAAGCAGTGGATGTTGCTAAAAGTATACACAGGCAAATTAGTAGCTGTAAAACAAAACTCTGGGGTCAGTTCTAGCGCAAGAGTAAACAAGTTCAACTTATTTTCTAAGTTTCTATTAAGATAAATCTATTACTTGAGGGTTTTTATAAGAAAATAAGTTTGCTTCTGTCAGTTTTTAACCTTTATATAGTGTTACAGATCCATAGCCATATATTATGCTTGCAGTTTCCATTTTTTGTCTTTTAATGATTGAATAACATTTTTAGTTAAATAAATGTAATATACCTTTAAGTTTTGTAGTGAATGCTGAATTTATTGCTCCAGTAGTCTCTGAATGCAGTTATAGCTGTTAAATATATTCTTAACAAACTGTATTCTTCAAAGTAAAATTGTAGAAACTAATTTTATTTGTAAAAGTCTCCAAGTATGTGTGTTATCTCTGCAATCCACACATGCTCTGACATACTGTTATCTCTGGTTCTGTCTCCTGTGTAGCTGCTCCATGGATCTCTGGCAGCAGATGGCTGGACTATAATGCACTGTTAAACAAATAAAACCATTAGGCATGTAATTCTGCCCGGTGAATGACTGTGTGTTTAAAATGGTTTAAAAAAATTAAATAGCAAATGAAGTTCACTTTTGAATTCATTTAATGACATTGGAATAAAATCCAAAGCCCTTTTCAGAATACATAAAACATCCCCTCTTATGTTGTGTTGTCTCAATTGAAGTCAGTCTTTTTTTATTGCATTATTGCATCTGGTATAAAATAATCAGTCCTAAATCAGTTTTCTAATAGATGTTTTCTACAAGTAATCACTCATTTTACATTTATCTTTGTAGTAAGATTTTTGCTTTTGTAATATTCCAGCACAAAATTATCTATTGCATTATATGCTCTTTTTTCCTCATTTTCAAATTTGATACAAATGTCTCTGAAATTTTGCTTCAACACTAGTGTCATGGCTCTGTAATTAAACTGTTTTTCTATAATTGTCAGCAGCTGAGAGATGCCATTTTGTCTTTTTGTTTTTAGATATGCCAATATTTGGTCTTTGCCCGGCTCATGATGATTTCTATTTGGTGATGTGTAACCACTGTAATCAGGTCGTAAAACCACAGGCATTTCAATCACATTATGGTAAGTGCTTAACTATTTTTAATAATTAAGGGTGAGGTTAAATCAGGATTAAGCCTGGCAATTTTTTTTTTAAATAGATGGTAAATAGATCATTAAATTATAAAAAATGTCAAAGAACATAACCTGTACTTAATAATTTTATATACATTTTAATGCAGTTACATAAAGACCTGTTTTTTAGCTTTTTATTTTCTTGAAATGCTGCATAGCTTAAGTTCAGTTTCAAAATGATAAATCTTGTGTATTTCACAGCCAATATGTGTCGTGTTTGTGTCTCTGTGTGTCATTTCTCTTTGTGTATTTATACAGATTATTTTTACATGGGTTCTGGTACAGTGTGAACTAGAACTGAAAGCTAAACTTACAGCAGAATTTATAAAATGTAGTAAGCTTCCAATAGCCAGTAAGCTTATTTATTTATTTTCAGAATTATCAATTTGTATTTGTTTTACTGGTCCAGTGGTTTTGTATATAAACTATATAAGGAAGCTCTTGTTGTGGTGGTTGGCCAGTGTTTAGAGAGGAGTGAGAAAATGTGAAGTACTGTGCCAGTTCAAGTGCTTGGTTACTTCCTCCAAGCCTGACTGGGGGTGGTTGGCAGTTCTGCTTTTCCATGCTCCTCTCAAGACTAGAAATTAACCTCAAACAGTTTAATGCCAATATTTGAATAGGAGGGTTTTTGGAAATCAGCTTTTTGTTTCTTAAGAATTCATGAGAAGTTTTCTGACCAACGCCTAATAAACATGATGGACAAAGCATCCTCTGAACTGCTCCTTCCTCCCCATGTGTGCATGTATTTGTACACACTCTTTTTCCTCTAGGCCAGTGCCCCTACTGGTTGGCTTGGTGTTTATAGGATACAAGCTGGGTATGGGCAGGGAACCTCTTCCAGAGTTGAGAAAAAGGGATATAACCTTTTGTGCACCTTAACTAATCCAATGCTTTGGCAAGAAAAGATGACTTCTGCTTCCTTGAGACTGGAGAAGGGCCTTTATGGACTGTGCAGAGGGTGAACTTCTTATCCTTTCTCCCTCTAGCTTGGCTTTTTGTTATATTGCCTTATGGATTATATAGCCCTACCCTTGCTGCTGGATCCTGCAGTTGTGTCACACAGTGTGACTCAGAAAATAACCTGAATAGGTTTTGTGCCATAATTCTCAATAGTTTGCTTGTTATTCTGTGGGTGGCTGTACTAATAATTTATTTTAAACCCACGGTTTTGTGGATTTAAGTCTCCAGAGCTGTTGGGAGCCAGAAGAAGAAGAGGCCATCTTTTCTTGCTTTTCTTGCTCTGGTTGCTGTAAGCAATTTCCACTAGCCAAGAACGAGTCTACCCCTTGCCAGTGAGATTCCTCACGTGTTACTGAATATCATCTTAAGATGTCCAATAACTCCTTCTAAAATATCATATTAAACTGATTCTGATGGCTAAAAATAAATTTATGGGGGAGGACTGGATGATACCAAGTTCTGAGTGATGGCATATTGAATATTCCATCTTGAGGTCAGTAATGTTGTAGTGATGGAGAGCTGTGGATAGCTGCAGGCACTCAAGGTTGTCTTTATGAAATGAGCAGGTGATTTCCAAACACTGCCTGACAAACAGGTGTCTGGTGGGAAGCAGCATTGTGTTTGTCCCTGTGGACAGGTGGCAGAAGCAGCTCAGGAGCTGAATTAGGTGCAGCAGTGTCTTGAGCATGGACATGGAAACATGGCATCTTGTAATGCTGCTTGGACTGCTGTTAGACTTGTTATGTGAAGTTAATTCCAGCTCTTTGTTTGCAATTTAAAAGGCACAGAGTGAACAGGGAACTGCAAAATGAAGGTATGGGAAGTATTTTTAAAAGCCGTAATAAATACTAACATAACATTTCCATTCTGTATCATTTTATAGAAGCGTGATCCCTAAATATGAAAATTTCTCTAATACAAGCCTTACATCAGTGGCAGATTCATACTTTAGAAGTGTAGAAGGAGTGGATAGAAATGATGAGGTTATTCTTAGTGTTTCTTAAGCTTGTTCTGAACAATGAAGAGCCTTGGCGTGGGCTGTGGCGTGCAGAGGAAACAGGTGGGGTCATTCTGATGAGAAAAACAGGCTTGGGTGGGGTGAATGTCATTAAAGGACCTTAGTTTGCCAATCTAATAGCCTCAGAAAGGTAAGAAGGCTGACTTGGTGATTTTGTGTAGCACTAGCTCTCCAAGCCTTCTATCAGCCTTCCCATTTTTTAAATCCTTTCACAGCTGTCCCTTAATTTAGAAAATTAAATATGAAAGCTGATAAATATGGCAGGTGATTGATTACCAGACAATGATCTATTTTTTTTTAAACAGTATAGCTCAGGAGAAGGAAATTGTTGAAGTCCTCAAAACATGGTTATTTAAAAAGAAAAAAAGTTTGTTATCATGATAACAAGAAGGTAAAACACTCTTTGGATTCATCACAGTCAGTTCACCCTGAATTAAGTTTTTTACAGATTATATGATTTCAGGAATTGAAAAATTTGAAAAGTTGCAGTCCATCAATGTATCTTTCTGTTATGTTCTTAGGATCTTTTATTTTTAATTGTTGCCAGAGAAGTATTAATCTCTTAAAATATTCTATAGCTCCTGGTGGTGTGTGTTGCTGTACTTGGTGTTCTTTGAAATTTGTCATGTGAAATTTTGTTTTCTGAAGTAGTAGAATATGCACTGTTAAAATGTCGCTTTTGTCAAAGGAAAGCTAAACAAACTATTAGTTAAACCTAATGAGCTAATTAATTTCTTCCAAAGCATATTTGTGATAAACTACTTAACTAGGTAGGCTGAAAGTGCTTTGCAGGACATATGCTGGCTTTTTTCTCTGGACCATAAGTAGTCAGAAATAATTTAAATGTAACCTTATTAATTAGAATATATAACCTTTTCAGTAAAATACTTTATTGATACAAATGACAGATTTGTTTATGTAACTGATTCTTTTGTATTTCATGCATTTGACTAGAAGAGATACTAATGTAAAATAAAATTCTACTTGTTTAGGCAATCCAAGCATATGTCTGGGCTATGAATTTCCATTTTAATAATTTATTCATGGTGTTGATATATGTACTATGCCTGATTTGTAAAGCTGGTATGCATAACACCACGTGCAGGTTTGTTTTTAGAGCAATCCAATATAATGAGATGTCTGAAGTCAGCTTGTGGCATTCCTTCCAGCCTGTGAACAGTAACTGGCCTGCAGGGCAGTCCAGTGGCTTTGGCCCTTGGCTTAGGGTGGCAGCACTGCTGGGGACGTGGTGGGGCAGGAGCAAGCCAGCCAAGGAAAAGCTGTTCAAAGACAAATCCTCTGTTCTGTCAGATCACAGCTGTTTTCATTGGGGGGCCAGGCAAGTGATTGCAGCCCTTTATTGCTCCTGTTCCTGCTGCTGCTTTGTGAACGGCTGCACTTTCATGGCATCAGCATCTTCCTTAGATGAGTCAAGATCAGTTCAGAGGTGAAAGATGGAAAAAAGATAAAATGTTCAGGCACTAAGTCTTGTGGGTGAAGCACCTGGGCTCACTTATCTTGATGACCTATTCCCAGAAAGTGTTTTTCTCCAGGAGTATTTCTCTACACCCTGGATGATGGTGTGCCAGCTGTCACACTCCTCAGGACAGCGGGATGTGCCTGTCTCCCTTTGATTTCTGCTCTTTCCTCCCCCAAGACATGGTAGATGCAGTTCTTGTGCTGCACCCAAAGGTTGCTCTTTGAGGAAGCCATTGTGACAGTTATTTCAGGTTGTTCGTGGAAGCCCTGAAGTGCCGTGGTTTTCAGGCTGTGTGACCTTTTGTTGGCATTTCAGCTGTTCCACAGGTTTATCTCATCTCCCTGTGGTTATCAGCCTCCTGGCTAATGAGAGCTGCTTCTCTGCCCTGGCTGGGCTGCTCTGTGGCTGAGAGAGCTCAGCAGTGTGAAAGTAGCATCAGCATAGACGTGTCTGGGGTTTCTTCCTTCTAACTTTGCCTTTTTTTTTTTTTTTCCAGAGGTTTTTTTCCCCCTCTGTGCCTTAGTTTCCATGAATACAAAGTAGGGTTAAACTCTCAGCAATAATAATGAAGGCTATACCTGTAAAACTTACACTGAGAGCGCCTGTGACTCATGTAGTGATTGTGAAAACCATGAATACAGTACATGTTGGAAAGAGATGATGATAGTGTGTTGGGCTGTTGAGTCATTAAAAAGCTATGTCAAGTGTTTTGATTAACTTCCATGGGTTTGGCACAGTGGCAAAGGTGAGCAACCACCGGGAGCTTTGCCTGCTGCTGCTGTCCTGAGAGCTGATGGGGAATTGCTTAAACATTCTGGTTTCCAATCAGTGCAGGTTTAAACATGAAGTGTATGAATCAGAAGCAGGGTTACTGTACAGATATGCCCATCATCTGTTGTGGTTTCTAGGAAGTTGTGGAATTGGAATAGAGCATCACACAACGTTTTACTTGGAGGGCAGATCCTGGCAGTAGAGAAAGAGATGTTTGCTGGTTACTGGGGTCCATCCTGCCAGTCATTTTGAGGTCTTTAGTGATTCTCCTTCATCTGATTGTGTAACCGAGGTCCTTCCTCCCCCAGCCAGGGCCCACACCCACCTTTCATTTACAGGTCTCCACTTCAAGAGTCCTAAAGGGTTTTTTTTTGTGTTGGTGTTAAGTGTCTGGATTCAGAGAGAACACGTGATACTTGTGATTTTAATTGAGAAAAATTATCTGTTAACTATCTGTGTTGGTGTGCTGATGTATTTTGGATGTGTATCATACATAGCTTAAGTATTACAGTCCCTGCAGTGTTAAATGTTGGGTTCTTCTCACACTATGAATTGAGTATAAATTTGTCCTACTGTGTTTTTGTTAAATTTGGTAGCAGCTAATTGTTCTGAAAAATCTGTCAATATTTAATGTTTTTAAGTTGTTGCGCATGTATTGCGTGTTTAAAGTAGAATAAGAGATCATGTTTAGCATGAATCCATGGATTACAAAGTCAAAGA